TGTTTATAAATAATGCAATGAATTTATATGTTTTAATTAATCCAACAAGCAATGAAAATAAATAAATCGAATCGATTTTTAGTTACCTTGTTATTTAATAAGCCATCCATAAAATGATATAAGTATAATGTGTTGCGATTTAAAGACCCATGCGCTGCAGCAGTGAAAAATATAAAAAGAATTATGATCTATTTTTTAATGCAATGTTGACAAAAAGACAAAAACTGCAAACCTCATTAACCGTTGAATGATTTAAATCTATTGAACTAGCTCACAAGCATTTATCAGTTCTTTTCTGTTAGCCTATCGATAGTTTTCTTTGATTATTGATAGAAAAAAAGCATTAGCTCTATAATTTGAAATTACAACTTTGAATAAACTCCTAAATATATTAAAAATAATATTGTACGCAACAATATTTAAAAGAGTTTTTACAGCATTATAAATACTTTTTTTTTTTCATAATTTATTAATCGTTTAATGTTGGTTCGTTTTTTTTTTGTTTTTATTTTTTCTCGTTTTGCTTTTTATTGATAAAAAATGTTCAAATTTATACGGATCTTATTTGTTTGTCTTTAAATATGTATACAGACATGTATAATAATAATACATTCAATGTTGTATAAATATTCCCGTTTTGTCTATATAATTTCTATTATTTCGTTTTTTTTTTTTTTTTTTCTTTTTGTATCTATATTTCATACAATTTTATATATATTTATTTATCAGTTGCATAGTTGTTTTTGTTTTCTTTATATAATCATTTATTTTTTAGTTACGAGTTTCTTTTTTTTTTTTTTTTTTTTTTTTTTTTGTTGAGAAACATTTTAAATATTATCATGTATAACTGTCGGAGAGATTTTTAACAATTGTGTTTTCATTTTTATTTCATTTCATTTGTTCGCCCATGTGTTTAAATAGAAAGCGCGGTAAGCGTTAAAAAGCAGGTTTCAAATATATGTATATATATATATATATATAATTGAATTAACTCAAATACGGGCGATCGTTCAACTAAGTTATGGTTTCTTTATATAATTAATTCGTATATGTTAACAACTTTTCAATTCAAATCTTTAATGAAATATGTCATAAAAAAATAAAGCAAGCTTAAAAGACTGTAAAAAAAATAATGAAAAGAATCGGGGAAACTCAAGAAGTATATAATCGATGAGAGCTGAAACCTTCTCTTGGTCCTGATTACATCCAAAATTATAGATCATATATAGCTAAATAAAAAATAAAAATACAATTGAATATTTATTTGCATATTAGGAGCAAAAAGGCATTTTTTTTATTTCGTTTTCGTGTTTGGGGTTCTTGCTTTGCGTTTGCCTTCAATTAACTAAATTTTACAAAAGCTAAAATCGAAAGAATATTCTGAACAACAGTTTAGCATTTAAAATTAACAAATAGTTAAGTAATTAAAAGGATGATTTCTTGGTTTTTGCAGTTTCATTTTGAGCTTAAAAACTTATATGTATTGAAGAGAAAAAATTAAATAATAAAGTGTACTTCGTAGTATAACAAAAAAAGCCATTTACATAATTTCAAAACTAGAGCAAAAAAATTGTTTCCTTTTTTTTTTAAGTGGGAGCTGAGGAATTGGCAACTATTTAATGCTTATATTTTGTTTCTTAATCTTTTTGTTTGTATAAATATAAAAATTGTTTAGCTTGCAGCTCTTTAGTTCTTCATTCTTCTTCTGGTTGTGTTTTAAAAAATTCACGAATGTTTTCTTAAAAGTTTACAAGTTAATAAAGCGATGTCTGCTGCTCAATTTCCTTGAGTTTTGAGTTTCTTTTTTGCCAAGTCAAGTCGAAACAAACGTAAATCCGACAAATATCTGTACATATAAATAATTAGTACATTTGCATGTTTCTTTTAGTTATACATAACATAGTTTATATTAATATATATAAATATATATTCATATAATGCATTTCCGTTGCTCTGTTGCTCATCCTCTGTGTGTCTCTCTCTCTGTGTTGATAACTGCGTGTGCCAAACTATTCCTCCTTGTTTTCTTTTAGATACTTGCTATATAAATCTTTGCTCTAACCATTGTCTCAATTGCTATTGTTGTTAGGTTACATAATAATTGTATATGAAATTAAAAGTGTAGAAAGCGTGGCGTAGGCGTTGGCATTGGCATCTCATCTCATCCCATTCGTCTGGCATACATAAAAAGGTGTTTTGCTGTAAAGCCGCAGTGATGAAAGGCGGGCGTTCGAAACTTAGCTTGGCTCAATTTATTCGATCACCTTGAGTACCTTGCCAATAGCGATTGTTTTATCTAAAAACGAATAGAAATATTTATGTATAAATGATATGTAACTTTGGGATTTATCAATTAGTCACTCACTTTCATCTCGCAGCGTAAAACGTCCCATTTGTGGGAACAGCTTAAACTGTTCTAGGCAAATCATGCCGTAGCATTCGATGCGCATAATTGCGACCTGATCCTGTTTAACAAATCGTGGACGTGTTTTTGATTTCTCACCAGTCTTTTTGTCTACCAAACAGATGAGTGCCTATAGCCGAGATAGAGATAAAATATTAGAGATATATTACTATAAGAACTAAAAAAATATAATATATAAAATATGGAACGAGATCGCACCTTGACCGTAACTTCCTCGGCCGCGCAGTGTATGTGCATGACAGCTGAATAGCCCGCACAGATAATTGATTTGTGTTCCAATATAACGACCTGAGCATCAAAGATTTTGCCTGTCTTAATTGGGTTGGCGGCATCACAGAGCACAAAACCAGGCGAAACATCTTCTTCCTCGATGCCCTACAAGAGTTGGAAGTAGTTTGATTAGTTTTGATTAGAGCACTAATTTAGTAATGGGTAAACCTACTTTCAGCTTGATTTTGACATTCTCGCCGGGCCCTACAGAGGTCACCTCATAGTCATCTGAAAACAGTTGATCAACAGCCACTTGCGTCTGTAATACATATACAGTTAGTAAAGGAACTTCAATTATTTCAATCTATTCCTTACCCTATTGGGCATAACTAGCAAATTTTGTCCCTTGCGCGCGCAGCCGGATTCAACTTTGCCCATGACAACGGTGCCCATATCCTTATATTTATCTACAATGGGCATAATGAAGGGGCCATCCTGATTGCGGTTTAGCGAGGGCAACTCATCGATAAAGGGTATGAAGGCAGGCCCCCTATACCAGGGGCACAATGTTTCTGGTATTTGATCCTTGAGGCCATAGCCGCTGAGTCCGGAACAAGGCATAAAGGTTAAATCCTTGGCTGGATTGAAGCCGAGCTTCTTGAGGTATGGTAGTATCTTGTCTTTGCATTCGTTGTAGCGTCCCTGATCCCAATTAACAGTTGGGTCATCCATCTTATTCACGAGCACAACCAGATGCTTAACGCCCGCCGTTTTGGCCAACATGGCATGCTCTCTCGTCTGTCCACCACGATCGAAGCCCGTCTCAAATTCACCTTTTCGCGCGGAAATAACAAGCACAGCCAAATCCGCCTGCGCCGCTCCACCAATCATGTTTGGGACAAAACTCTTGTGACCAGGTGCATCCAAGATGGTAAAATGCTTGCGATCTGTTTCGAAAAAGGCCCGACCCACTTCCACGGTCTTGCCCTTGTCGCGCTCCTCCTGATTTGTGTCCAACGCCCAAGACAAATACCAACTCTCGCGCGATTTCTCTCGCGCCTCTCGTTCATATTTCTCCAATGTGCGCTTGTCCACCATGCCCGTCAGCGACATGATCTGGCCGCCAATAGTTGATTTACCAGCATCTGAAAAGCAAATAAAGATTGTTATAATAATTCCATAATTTTTGGCTAATTCAGGACTTACCAACGTGACCAATGAAAACCACATTCACATGCTCGCGTTTGCTTCTGTTCTCCTCCACTTTGATAATCTTTTTCTTTGAGACCTTCGGCGTGGCTTCACCCTCAACGAATTCAACATCATCGATTTCCTCCTCGTCAGGCGTAATGATAGGATCATCTTCCACATCCCAGCTATCAGCGGGATCCGTTTCTGTAATGCATATAGAATATTATTATAACAATCAATATGTACAAGTGTACAATAAATGTAGATATTTTTATGTGCAAGTTAAGTGATTCAATATGCAAGATAAGTGAGCAGATAAGTGAAAGATCTAGTTTTAATAAAAGTATAAACAATTATGAGCAATATTTATTTAATGGATTTGTCAAATATTCAAAAAAAAAATAATAATAAAAAGTTAACATCTAAGAGTGTCTTTCTATTTTAACAAGTTTCCGTCTGCATATAAATATTCGATTAATTATCCTGTTTCAAGAAGTTTAAATAAATGTAGGATTTGGCATATTTAAATTACACATTTATAAATTGGAGCAAAAGTGGCATACAGACAAGGTACAGAACATATTCACATTTTCGTATTCACTGCAGCCCTAGTTTATTGTTATCTTTGGTTTTTGTGCTGTTGTTGTTGTGAAATTGACAAGATATGGCGGGCATGCATTGTTAACACCCTCGTTTGAAAGCATGAGTCATAATATTTGGTTGTAGTGCTGGCTTAAACGTGCATTAACGTGCGTATATTGAAAGGAAAATACTTTTTCAGGTTTGGATATTTCACAATATATTAAACAACATGTTGATATGTTTCAAAGTGTACATCTCATTTTGCGTTCGTGCCACGATTCACAAATACGCCACGCGCTCAATTTCTATTCCAGGCTACAACCAGGGCCGCCAAGAAGAAGGAAGAGTGTGCCCGGTCACAAGCAAACAGAATTAGTTTTATTTTATTTTATTTATTTTTTTTTTTTTTTGTAGACACAACTAAACGCTTTCAGTTGAAACTGGTGAAATCTGGTAGCCCTAGGTTATGGCCTTGTTTAGAGACGCCAATGCGCGCGCAGCCCTATTACCCCGTTACTAACTTTTCTTCATGTGTTGAGTGGCGCCGTCGCCTTTTCGCAACATTTTAGCAGAATCAAATTTATAACAAAAATATGAATTAAAATAAATCAAATTCGAACGGAGTCAACAAACGAACATGCGCACACGTTGACACGACCGACCGTTCAGCGCGGAAATGTAAAAGTAGCTAAAAGCAAAGCGAATGCCAAGCACACAACAAAATTCATTACGAGCTGGGGCGTTCGCTCGCTCTGTTGGGTTGACGCTGTTGCTGTTGCTGGCGCTGCTGCGAGCAGCCGACTAAAATTCATAATCAAGTTGAAAGCGGTTCAAACCGCAAGCAAGGTGCAAACCGAGTGGCACGCACACACCAACAACAACCAACGCTAACTGTAATTTCGGCTAACAGCGCGCGCAGCTGCTTACAACGATAACAACAACAACAGCAACAACATACAAGCCTGTTGTGCTTAGCAACGACACAATGGTCCCAAACCAGGGCTGCATCAAGCAACATGCTGGAGCCATGTGACGAGTGAGCACACATTCGCCACTTGCAAATCCAACCAGAACCAATTTGAATCGTTCATCAACGAGCGAATGCCGATGGGAAAGCAGCAGGCGGCAATAAATACAAACGAAAAACGTAAACGTGTCAAAACACAGAAAATGCTGCAGCAGAGATGCGCAACAGAACGGTTACAGACTTTTATATAGGATATGTAGCCGAATGATATAAACAAAAACAGCAAGAGAATTGATGATGATAACATATTAAAAAGTAAAAATACTTAGTAAAATTGAAAAATAAAGAACACAAGATGAAGGTAAGTAAAACAGATTAAATCATATAAAAAAATGAAAATAACTAAAAAAAAATAAACCTTGCAGGAACCTATTCAAATCAGCTATAAAAATTTTGAAACACTGAATCTTTTACTTTCTCTTGAGCTAAGAAAAATTATTGTAAAAATTTTTAAATTAATTGAAGAGCAATATTAATTACCTCACAATATTAGCCAAAAATAACTAAAGAACAAAACAAAAGCCTTTCAACATTAATTATGAAACACTAAATTACTGCATTCGTGTCTGCAAATAAATTTTGCGCACCACTAGAACGAACACGATAAATAGCAGTTCACAACATGAACAGCTGCTGCAACTCATAGATGCGTTGTGTTGCACGCGTGTGTGAATGGGTTAGCAGCATTAAGCAGCATGCAAAGTGCAATTCATATTTTGCAAAAAATACCATTAACAAGAGCACAATAAACACGCATTCACACCTGCTAGCACATACACACACACTTACTCAATCACTCACACACACACACATACTCACTCATACACTAGGTCGCCCGTTACCGCAACAACAATTGAGGTTATGTTATGCGATATACCGATAACCTAAGCATATTTGCACTTTTATGTTTTGCTTTTGTTTTTATATACATACATAGAAGCATACATATATAAGAGCTTATTAACAACAAAAACAGTTAACAAAGTAGAGTTTGTAGGGCTGCTAATAAATACAAAGAACGGTACACGTGACGTCACAATGCAAAGGTTCAATGCGCCCGACATTTGCTCTAAACTACCCCCAGGGCGCCCACTCACACAAATAAGCACATACACACGCATACACTCACACTTTAACTAAATATGTTTATATGTGCTTGTGTGTGTGTTTGTCTTTTATATTTACCATTGTTTGCCGTTATTTTGTCCGCCACATTTATATGCTCAATTGGTGCTGCTGCCGCTGTCGAAGGCGTGGTAACGGGCGAGCCTAGCGCTGGTGATGCCGAATTTGAGGCGGCCGCCGATGATGGTGCTGCCGTACCCGTACCCTCGACCGTACCCGTTCCTGCTCCGCCTCCACCTCCACCGGCGTTTAGTGCATTTGTGGAACCAGCACTGCCTGTGGAATCGGGCGTTGTTGCAGGTGTGGCACTACCAGATGCCGGCACTGATTCACTTCCAGGCGCAACAGCATTATCCACTGGCGTTGTCTGCTGCTGCTGTTGTTGTTGTTGTGTAGTCGGCGGCGCTTGCGCTGCAGCCGCTGCAACAGCCGCTGCGCTGGCAGCGCTGCTGTAATTAAAGCTGGGCACAAATTCCACGGCATTCACATTGAGTGTTGAGAATTTTGTTGAAATTTCCGTGTTCTCCTGCGCGGCCATTGCTGATGCCTTTTGAGGTTTCGAGCAAATCGCTTTTCGAGTGGAAAATTTCACTTTTCGCCTCTGCGCTAGTTGTGCTGCTTAGCACTCACAATAACACACACTAACTGCGACGTCGACGACGACGACGGCGACGACACACTTTCGCCCTGCTTCTGCTTTTGCTGCACTCACACGAACACGCGTTTGACTTGCGTCGTCGATTGCCACCGAGAGCAGTAGAACGGTTGGAATATGAAAGGAATATAAAGGGGGTAAAGGAGACAACCCTGCCTTTCAATTTGTGATTAATTTGCTTTTGTCGTTTCAACGTCTAAGCCAACTTAGACGTCGCTGCTTTTGCGTTTACTTCTGCTTTTCTCCTGCACTTTACTACTGTCTGGCAGCACAACACAAAATTCTACGTGTATGTGCGTGCGTGCGTGTGGTTGTGTGAATAATCTCTTCGCTCGCTTTTGACACCTTTTCCAGTTCAGTTCAACACCTGTGCCAGCACATATGCAGCTGTCAATTGATCTTCAAACAAAAACAACTTCTTTTTGCGCTTAATTTGGCGAAATTGTTGCAAAATTTGTAACAAAATTTTACACGTTTCACCGCCACGCGTTGCAAAGCCAGGGATGGAAAGTATCGATAGTTTTCAATATCGTTGACGACAATTAAATATATTTAACATTTCAAAAATCTGGAATTTACTGTTTTTGTCGGTGTATGTACAAAACTATGTGAACAATAATTGTTTTATAAAATTTTTAAATTAAACAAATATATATATATGACACCGTTACATGAAACGATAAGTGCCATAATAGAGCTGTCAACTTGTTTTAACTGAATATCGATATTTCCTTTCAGTCAACGTAAAAATATCGAAGCAGCATTCATATTTCATCCATCGATAGAGTAAAGCAGAGCAGGCACAGCTGAACAGCGGCGGCAAAATCAGTAAATTTTTGCATAAAAAATTTGTAATTTTCAAAACAGTGCATAAAAAGGCAAAGAATGAGTACTGGCGGCACCGGAGGCGGTGTTGGAGGCGGTGCACGCCCACCACCCAGAATCGATGGCATGGTCTCGCTAAAGGCAAGTACCCAAAATATCAAATAGAAAGTACAGCAACGCAGGCATGCAGCCAGACAAAATGGCGGCCGGCAATTGATTTACTGTCTGTGTGGGTTAGATAACCTTTTCTCATTCGACATTCAATTTACATTGTATTTTCGGATGCAGGTCGACAATCTCACATATCGCACCACGCCCGAAGACTTGCGTCGTGTCTTCGAACGTTGCGGCGAAGTTGGCGACATTTACATACCACGCGATCGCTACACACGTGAAAGTCGCGGATTTGCCTTTGTGCGGTAAGTAAATAATGTTAGGGAAACCGAATTAATTTGTGGAAATGAACAGGTGCATAATGAAAGTCATTTGAGTTTTCACTTATGCCGTACTTTAATGCATAATGTATTTTGAGGTTAGACACGAATTGCTTACCTTATGAATGGAAATTCCCACATTTTCATATAATCGCTGTAAATACATGGGATATATATATATTTATTCAATTTAAAGTTATCCGATTAGCCAATTGAAATTCTTTGCATTTTTGCTCTACTTGAACATGTTTATATGCTGTTAGACATAGTCTAAGCACAAAATGCCAGATGAAATGTGTTCATTTGCAACTGTTGCCTACCCAAACCTCTGCTAGCCAACATACTGCGAATACTACATGGATTTGTTAAATATTCTGCATTTTTGCTCTATATTGGCATGATCAACTACTTATTGATCGTGTTCGAAGCAAAAGTGCGAGATGAACTGTGTTCAATTGCAACTGTTGCCTACCCAAACATCTGCTAGCCAACATACTGCGAATACTACAAACGAATTGATTGATAATAATTAAACTAACCTGCATTATTGCTCAGTTTACGCATGATCATGACTGTATTAATCATGCTCGAAGCAAGGATGCTAGATAAAATGTTTTCAATTGCAACTGTTGCCTACCCAAACTTCTGCTAGCCAACATACTGCGAATACTACACGTTTTAATATCTGAAATAAGCTAAGTTTGAATATGCAAGAATCCAATTGGAGTCACTAAATGCAATAGAGAAGAATTTATTAACTAAGAGTCACTTAGCTTATCAAGCCAGGGTATCCCTTGGCTCTATAACTCATTATTTTCCGTTCATTCAGACTCCTCTCTACACTACTCACTCTCAACAACAACAACAATTACCAAACATGCCAGTCGAAATGATTGTAAATGTCATCCTAATCTTTTTTCTCACCTTAGCTTCTATGATAAGCGCGACGCTGAGGATGCACTAGAGGCCATGGATGGTCGTATGCTGGACGGCAGGGAGCTGCGCGTTCAAATGGCACGCTATGGTCGACCTTCGTCACCGACACGCCGCAACAGCAGCAGTAGTCGTCGTGGCGCTGGTCTTGGCGCCGGCGCTGGCGGCGGTGCTGGAGGACGTCGTCGCTCGCGTTCACGTTCGCCGATGCGTCGTCGTTCGCGCAGTCCGCGACGACGCTCCTCATATTCGCCTCGTTCACGCTCGCGCTCGGCGGGCAGTCGTTCACCCGGTCGTCGCAGCAAATTTTCACGCAGTCCCGTGCGCGGCGACAGTCGCAACGGTATCGGTAGCGGCGGCCTGGCCAGCGGCTCACGCAGTCGCAGTCGTTCCTAAAAATGCTGCTCGCTTCAGACGTTCCATACTTTTACGTACGAAAAGGGTGAGTACAAATCTATAGATTTATGTTTTAATTATAAATATATAATAGTTTGTGACATTCAATTCGATTTGCAGCCTTAATTGACTCGTGGACAACGGTATATCCAGGAAAACCCGCTCAACTAGGCTGCTGTAAGAACTTCTCATGCTGTGTACCAGAACAGCAGGTATACAAAAACAAAACAAAACTGATAACAGATATACATACATATATACAGAATATTTATAATACACTATTTTAAGTTGAGGAAGCGAACAAATCACAAAACAAATCAACATAAGAGAGCAAACTAAAAAGGACTATGAGAGTATATAAAACAGAGCATAGTTCAGCCCCGAAAGGGTTTTGAGATTTAGTTTTATATTCTTTTTCAGTTACCTTCTGTTTGTTTTTCTTTTGCATATTCTGTTTGATATAATTTGTCTGCTCAAACGGGTCAGCAGCTAAAAATAGTGTTTGCTAGGGTATCTAGGGATGAATGTAGCATTTAATAATTTGGGCGCCATTATTGATGATTTGTGTAGCACACACTACAAAGAATAAAACAAAACAAAAAACAAGAAAACTAAATTAAATAATATGTAAATCTATAAAACAATGCGGGAAACAACACATTCTGCTAGTCGATTGTCCGTTACATTTTTGCAGTTATCTTTTGTGTTGCTCGTTACTTTTCGTTTCTAACTGTAACCCCCACCCCCCATTTACGATTATGATAAACAAAAATCTATTAACAGCTTTCCAACCATTTTACACATTTATATATACGCAGGCAAGAGTGCGCGGCGTTTGTTGCAGTCGTTGCTGTTAATGTATATGTTATGTTATGGCTGGCGTGCGAGTCGTGCGTGGGCAAGGGAGAGAGTCGGTCAGTCGGCGAGCGAGAGAGGTAAAGCGAAAGTGAGAGCGCGGAGCAATGCAGCGTGTGTTCATTTCTTTCTATATACATTATAAACTGAGCAGCATACACAAAACGAGAGCGGAGAGCGGAAACGTCGCGTCGCTGCTGCCGGGTGCTGCTCATGCTGCTGCTGCTACTGCTACTGTTGCTGTTATCTGCAAAACTTCGCTGCGCTGCTGATGCCGCTGTTGCTGTTACTTCGAACTTCCCCACACACCCACACATACACAACCCACACGCACGCGCGCACACATATACTCACAATGTTGCCGTTGCGTCTGCGTCTGCCGAGTTGGTGCTGTTGCTGCTGTTATGCTGCTGCAGATGCCGGCGTCCTTGTCTGCCGCCGGCCCTCAACTGTTTCGCTGTTTAGTTTACCGTTGGCGTTTTGCTGCTTCACTTCTTGTTCGCACTTGTTGCTGTTGGCGGTGTTGTTGGCGTTGTTTCCTGCTGTTTCCAGCTCTATCTAGCGATTGGTGGGGCCTACTTTTGACTTTAGCGAAATTTGTAGCGGACTCGGACAACAAATGACGCCCCCACCCTCCCCAACCACTGAGCATAAATTTGATTGATTCACCTGGAATCCAACTGGTAAGTAAAGCATTAACATATGTAGCTAACATTTCGGATTCTATTACAGCCAAATTCAAATTAACTCATATAGATGACAATAATTATGCAAATTTAAATTATATATTACAAATAAAAATTGAATTAATAGTACAAAACACTTTTCTTTTGTTTTATTGGTATTTTGGTTAACGGAGAAAAATTTAACATAATCTGTTACAATTATGAAAATGCAATTTATCTAGAAATGCATTTTAAGCAACCTATGTAGACATTTTTTTCTACACAAGCTGTCTGTGGGATATATGTATGTATGGGCTTATTGACAAAGCGTTTCCAGCACAACCAAACGAATTCCAATTGGATCTAAGTAAGCGAGGACACATGCCTCATGCTATCTTTGTAGAGTTTCGGGCAGTTTGAAGGGGCGTCTGTGTAGAAAGCTGTGTTTATTGACAACACGTTTTCAGCACGGCAACGAATTCAATTCCCAAACAAATTTCCATTCAATAAATTTTTGAACAAAAAAAAAAAAAAAAAAAAAATTCGCTCTAACCCAAAAAGAAAAGGATCTTATCTTTGCTAAACGCAAAAAAATCGGTTTACAAAAGATATATCACAATGTTTATGGACAAGATGGTGAAGAACGACTCCTTCGAGCCGGATCTGCGAAAGGAGGGCACCTACATTTGCCCTTTTCCCCGCCCACCGCCGCCCCCAAATGCCTTCGACAAGTGGCACAGCCACCTCTCGCCGCACGAGCGTCTCTACTATCATCGGACTATGAGCTCGGTGCGCTATAGCAAACGTTTTCGCGCCAATCCGAATATTCCAAAGGATTCGCTGGACTTTCAGCTCCAAGCTCGTTACGATCACGGCCGTGAAACGTTCCCGGAGAATATAGACGTGGTGCTGCAACGTGATACGTGTCCAGCGTTGACCAGCTGGGCAGCTCCACATGGACAGAAGGAAGTGGGCTCCATTTCACGAGTGAACGTGTTTCGTGTGCTGCGCAACACGCGCATTGTGGCACACAAAATGGAGGATACTCTGGGCCATCCATTGGTCTTAGGTAAGGCAGTTCCAGTTCAGGATTCCGATTCCGATTTAGCTAATTCAAATTTAAGGATAGTTCAGAAAATGAACAATTCTAGAATTGCCAGAGCTAGATTTGCGCCTTATTTTAACTTTTATCATTTTCTTGCGCCTTCTCTTCGCAGGTGGCATTAAGGAAAAGATACATCCATCGTCAGTCAAGCTTATATGCAGTGGCGTCCATACACAGCTGGTTAACAATGGATTCTCGCGACAAACTTCCGATGGCAATTTCTTCCGTTATTAGAGAAAGAGAGAGAGACAGAGACAGAGAAAAGAGAAAGGCGCTCACAAGTTTGCTAGTTTTCAACTGCTGCGTTTCAACTATTGGCAAAAGAAAATATAATAAAAATTGACAGAGCAACGAATCATAAAAGCGTTTCACGTAGTCGGCGATAATTTCAACTGCTTTGCTGGCTGTTGTTCCTCATCTTCTTGACATTGCTTTTGCTCCTCCTGCTCCTGCTCGCCCCTCGCGAGCGCCTCATCTTCCTCCTCATCCTTATCCTCCTTCTTCGTCGTCTGCTGCGCCGCTTTGTGACGTTGCTTTTTGTTTTGATTGCGATAGCTCTTGGGCAGTTTATTGTCGCCAATCCTATAGAAGAGTAGGCTTGTTTACTAATAATACTTAAGGGAAAAGGTGTAGGCTCTATCTTACATGATCGTGGCTCTTGTGCCGGGTCCCCAGTGCGGTGCCGGATTCTCCTGGAAACGCGAGAGCGCCTGTTTGCGACTGCTTGGATTGGCCAGAGGATGCAGTTCGTCGAATTCGTAGTCTCGCTGGCAAGGCTGTGAAAGTATGGCTTGCAGGGCAGTGCCTGGTATCAGGCGATCCTCGCGCACCGGATGCCGTTTGCTCCAGCAGCGCAAGACATCCCATAGCACCGAGGCAGGCGCATCGGTTTTCAAGGAGTTCTTGTTGGCATGGGAATAAGAAACACGATAGCCGGCATGCAGCAGAGCCGAGCGCATCTTCAGCATAGGCACAATCTCCAGCTTGAGCACACAGCAGAGCTTGTCGGGCGTGTAGTAGAGCGGCACATCGGGCAGCTCCTCCCTGACCATGGATAGAACGCCCACAATACGACGCTGTGTGCCCAATTCAGAGAGCGGCGCCGTTTGCACCGACTGCAGCAGATCCTCGACAAATTCCATATTGTGTATGGGCGCCGACCAGATCGGTCCGCCCAGATGATGCCGATGGCTGCAGTGCTCGCACTGACTGTTTACGGCGGGTCCAGTGGGAATGCCAAATTTAACCACTTGTGGCTGCTCCGCAGATTTGCTGCGCACTGTGCCCAGTGGCTGGAGCGTGAATGCCTCACAGCCAGTGCATTGGAACAGCCAGGATTGCTTGCTCATGCTGTACTTGCATAGAGCCTGACTGGAGTAGACGCGCACAAAGATGCGGACATAGAAGTCGGCAGAGATGCTGAGCAGCGGTTCAATATATTTGCCATGACGATTTGCGTGCGTTTCGATGCAGTGCAGCAGGATACGTAGAGCCATCTCGTGGCAGCACTTCATCCGCAACGGCACAGAGCCGTATTTCACATAGCAGGATTCGGGTGCGTTGCCGGCCAGAACAGCCATGTCGGTGGCGGTGACCAGGAGAAGGCCGCCGTCAACTATGCACTGTAGAGCGCCGTCGAGGAAGCGATTCGGGCAGCCATACGGATCTAGATCGACAGCATCGAAGCGTTGCTGAGGAGCCGTCGACAAGTACATGAGAGTCCTGCAAGGGATTAGATCTAGAAATCATATGGAGAAGTGACTGAGACATCTTACATGGCATCCGCATGGCTGGTCTCGATGAGATGCTCCACGCCGTTGTGTTGTACATTTGTCTTAATCGATTCCACCGCCTGTTTGGACAAATCGTTGGCCACGATTTGACGCACTCCGGCAATCTCCTGGGCATAGCGGATGCTCCGTAGTCCTGTGGCTGCCAAAGCCTCCAGTATCCGCATACCATCCTCATACTTAGTTCCCGCAGTGTAGCTGGGCGTTACAGTGGTCTCTTGCTGCCCATTGTCGTCTACCTGTTGCTTCTGCTTACGTAGCTGCTGCTTTTTCGCCTTCTCAGCGCGCTCTTTCACTAAACGCTGAAAGTAAACGTTGAGCACTGCAATGCTCAGATCACGATTGAACTCCTGCACCGGATTGTAGAAGACATTGCCGCCGGATATGATGTTTGCATTGCGTTCTGTAATTATGTTTGCATTGGGATTCGCAGGCGGTGGCTCTTGTTGAACTTCTACTTCCATTTCACGCGTTGTCAACACGTTTTTACAATAGCGATGCACAACGGGCGATAGTTTGTGGCGGCAAATCGATAACGAAATTTATAGCATGCAAACAGAAATCATATGTATTGCATGGTTAGTTGGCAATGCAAGCAGCACAGCTGTTCAAAATGGCTTAGCTATTTTCCCGACAGATTGGCGAATAGCTCCGGGCAATTAATTGCCTTTTTATTTATGATAGCAAACAAAGTAAAAGCTTTGTATTAAACTAGAGCTAAGTTAAAACCAATTCCTTTAGATTTTTCGCTATTAATAGGGGGCTATTTGGCCGCACTGAGTTCTAGCTTTTTTATTTAGCCATTTGTAGCTATCGCCTATCGTGAGCTCTGACTGTACAACTAGTTGGCAGCACTGGCTTGAATCTGTCGTAACAGGCGGTCTGCATTTAGTTTTATTTGGAATAAAAAACATGAATAAAATAACCTGTGCCTTTATTAGCGTACTGCAGCACAGCAATAAATCATATGGAAGCGCTACGCTGCTCGGTCGCCAGTTGTCCTACAAAAGTGATTTGTCTCTAGATAAAATTTATCCAAATGCCCGTCTGCAGCTCTACACGCCGCCGCCTCCACCAGTAAATATTTGTATTTGCTCTACAAATCAATGAAAAGGTTGCTAATGTCTGCATATTTACAGCCTGGCAGTGGCGACAAATTCAATGGCTATATACCCATGGATAAGCTAGAGATCAGCTACAGTCGCAGCTCCGGGCCGGGTGGCCAGCACGTCAACACCTCGAATACCAAAGTTGATGTGCGGTTTAAGCTCTCGGAGGCGCACTGGATACCGGAGAAGACACGCGAGAAGCTGTTGAAAGCGCTGTCGAACAAGCTTAACAAGGAAGGCTACTATTTCATCAAAAGCGATTTGACTCGCTCCCAGCAAATGAATCTGGCTGACGCGCTGGAGAAGCTGCGCTCGTTAATACGCGCCCAGGAGCTCGATGAGCCAACGGAGCCCAGTGAGGAAACTGTGGAGAAGCTGCGTCGCCGCCAGGAGAAGGCGGCCAGGGAGCGGCTGCAGCTAAAACGCTCTCGTAGTCAGACCAAACGGGATCGTCAGGCATAATCAATTTATAGTTTCTAATTGGCCAAACAACAGTTTTTGTTAAAGATTAAACATTAAATATTTAAATGTAGTATAAACTAATGATTTAGCAGCTCCTCTGCGGCGGGCGTGACTGTGAAGCGTGGAACAACTGGCACATTGATGCGAGTGCTGGTATCAATTCTCTCCGGCTGTGAGACTCTGTATGATGGCATGCTGCAGATGCGAGCACGCTGCAAAGAGAAGATAAGAGAAGTTTATGAATAGGAATCGAAGCTTATTAGAGAAGGCGTCGTCTACATTCACTGGAATTTCATCAGTTTTCGGCAAGCGCAGTGTGTGACGCCTCTCAATGGTTGGTTGATTTGTTGGTGGCCTCCTCTCTGGCGGCTTAGTCAAGGATTGTGTGTAGAGCTGTTCCAGGCGATGAATGGTCGCCACACCCGGCTGCATGGAGAAGCTATGTCGTATGCTGCGCGGCGACCAGGTGTGCTGGTATGCAGCCTCGTCCAGATGGCGCAGAATGTCGCCATGGGTATCCTCTTTAGCGAGATCTGCCAGCAGCTCGTCGATAATAGCAGCGTCACTCCTCGGCACCTTGATGTCGTGCATCCAGAACTGACGATTGCTGCGTCCAATCACTGGAGCAATCTGTTTCACCTTCAGCACCAGAATGCCCATCAGGTAGATGCATAGGATATTGGATAGAGTTAAGCACATGCTAATGGTGCCCAGGATAGCCAGCTCTGTTGCCTGATTCTCGGAGTAGGTGCGCGACTTGACCACATCTACGTAGAGCGTATCGTCCTTTTCATACAGCTTGTAAATGCAGGCCAAGGCCCACAGGAGACCCGAATTGACAGCTGGCGGCAGCAGCGAGGCAGAGATGGCCACGCCCACCAGCGAACCAATATTGCCGCCCAGTATGCCAATGGCAGCTGCTGCTCCCGACGGTATGGCCGTGAAGAGGCCCACGACCAGTGAGTGCAGATCACAGCGGGAGAGCATCTCCTCCGTCAGTCCCTCGCCAATGCCATACTTCTTGTCCGTGGTGCAGACCACGAGGCCAAAGAGAAAGCCCACCAAGGTGGCCAGCAGTATGCCAATTAGCTCGTTGCGCATGCCCAGCCGCCACAGAGATCGCTCCTCGATCACCGTGCCGAAAATGGCCGCAATAATGGGTCCCATCAATGGGGAGATCAGCATGCTGGAGGCCAGAAATATGGTGCTGTTCTCAATTAGTCCAAAAGATGCCAAGATGCTGCAGTATAGAAGGCAGAGAGAGAGAGAAAGAGGAGAATAGAGATAATTATTGAAGATAATTTTGATAGAGAAATGCAAAGAGTATTTTTGAATTTAGAATACGTAAAAGCTTCAGCGGATTCGGCCCTTAAGGAATTAATTGCTGGTTGAGCAAAAGGATCTAAAATTCAGGATTTGTTGTTGTTGTTGAGAAGTTCAAAGAGATTCAATGGAAAGTAGAGTGAGTCATTGGGGAATTTGGAATACCTTATAATAGCGGAGAATTATTTGTAAGTCCAGAGTGGCCCACAAATTAGTTAAAAGTTAGACCTAAATTAATCGGACTAATAATGGAGTCTCTACAACAACCAAAAGTTTATATTTCATGATATAATGCAAGACATTGAAAAGAAGCAGGTAGAAGTGAAATTTTTGAGAGAATTAGGCAAGCAAATTTAGGTCTGTTTAAAAGGCTGCAAAGTGAAATGATTCAATTTTCATTTTAGAGCACATGCTGATTTGTCTAACTAATTTCTGGGTACAAGATGCACTTAATAGAATCCGGGATCTACAGCACCCGCCTTCCCTTCTCTGTCCCACTTACGCTGCTGAGACAAGTAGAATGCAAAAGTCAAATGTGATGGCCGCATCCAGGCGGACATCTCTAACAACTTGGGCGACGTTCAGTCTGGAGCGCACAGAGTTCATGAAACGATTCCAGGTGCCCTGTTTGTGGGCGTTATGAATGTTGTTGCCACTGCAGAAAAAAAGAA